TTCTCTGACAAAAACTTTGCCTACAAAGGAGGGCCAAGGCATTTTCTACCTCTAGACCTTCTCCAACTTGGACCCTTGCTCACCTCTTCACGAAATGGCATTAGTGATCTCATACAATCATGTGAGTACAAGTGGGGGTCAATACAGATCTATTTTTATCTAGCTCCTAAATGTTTAATCATCAAAAGTGTGGGTTGAAATCCAAGGACAGCATTCATCGCAATTCAGAAAATTAGGTTTTGCACAGCGTTCTGACTCTCAAGAATTTCAATATTAGAGAGCCTACAAACTGGAATAGAAACCTTTGGCAAAGAAATTTGTCCTTTTATCTGAAACACTGAATTACAAGATTTAACCTTTTGAGCTAATCTGCCATGTTCTAAAATTACAATCTACAAAACTCTTTCTTTGATTTGGGTTTCCTTAATTTTCCTTCTCTTTTTCTGAATTCTTGATGATAATTTGTACACGCATTTGTTATGCTAGACAGGTGCCTTGAGATTGGGGATGAGGGTGTTCTGGTAAGCCGTAAGCAGTTGGATTCTGATGTTGCCGCATACTCTTTTTTCGCTTGAAATATTTGTAAAATTTGTAGTCTTTTGGTGAAAGTTTCTCTCTTTTTTGGCCCCTGTTGTATTGCCAATTGTAGGTAATTGGTTAAAGAGAAGTTTTTACTGTGTCGTGTGTTTACATTTTTTATTTTCTTTCTTTTTTCCTTTGTTTTTTCAATACTTAATTTCGACAATTTATCTGCTAAGCATGTTTTGCTGTCTCTGGGGCCATTGTATAGTTATAGTTCCCGGTAAGTATGCATTTCTTTGTGTACAAAACACATTTTTTTTAAAACAGTATCGAAATCGCATTGAAAAAACCCCTTTTTACGATGCATTTGTCTGTATGCGGGAGTATAATCCTCCTGTTGCGTGCCAATTCTTCCTCTTGGATGTTTTGGCCTGATATCTTTGTAGATTTATTGGGTTTAGGATGCTTCCTTGAGTTTGTTAGCAGCCCTCTTTTCAAACGTAAACCCGAAAGAAAATTTATGTGTATCAAATTTGTGCATTAAATGATGTGGTAACATCTCAAACATTGAATGTTTATTGGAGTCGGTGGGTAGTGTAGGAAATCAATGTTATTAGCCATCGAACCGGTAAGAAGACCGAGTCAATGGTTTACTGGTTCAACTATTGGGTCAACTGATCGGATCGGTCATATAATAAAAAATTATAAAAATTATAAATATAATAATTTAGCTAAAAATATGAAATATGTCCGCAATGCATATAATTTGCTCATAAAATTAAGTACTAAGCAGATTAACAAAAGAGATAGAACAAGAAACAGAACAGGCAACACAACTTTTACATAACAAAAATTCAACACAAGTTCAGCAACTCCAAAGCTAGCATAAGTAACCGCCCAATTTACTCTTAAAAAAGAACTAGAGAACTAGCAAGCCACAGTGAAACATTACCCCTTATGACAAATCAACCTTTATTAGGAAACAACAATCTCCGTCTTCTTCTCAGAAAAGGCAAACTCCTCATATCTTGCGGTAAAGTCAGTCGCACTTCACAAAGGTAACCCTAAATCAATCAAATGGGGGGGGGGGGGGGGTCTTAAACTCCCCAATCTTTACTCAAATTCAACCATCTTTTGTTTCTCTTTCTTGTTTCTATGGACTAACATGGTAATGTTTGGTGGTACTTTTAAGAACAAAAGAAACTAGAGAAAAAGAAATTAGAGGAAGAGAAAAAAACAGAGTAAGGAGCGATAATCCATACCAGTTGAGTGGTCGCCTCTCTGGCTTTTTCTTCTTCGCCGGACAGGTGGGTGGGTGATGGGTGGCCACTGAGCTGTGAAGGAGCCAAAAAATCGATAATCGATTTAGGGCAAATGGCCCCCCAAAAAAAGATTTTTTTTTTTTTTTTTTTATATAGAACCTCTGAAATTCAAACCATCTGGTTCCCGGGTTCAGTCTAAAGCCAACCGGTTTAACAGTTTTCAGACGGTTTACTTTCTTATGCGGTCTAATTATAGAATAAATCGTTTTAAGTCCCCGGTTCACGATTCAACCGGTTGAATCGGTCAGTCCGATCCGATTTTAATAACACTGTAGAAAATTTTAATAAATATAGTATTACTGAAACCGAAAATAAGAGTGTCAATCGTGTTTGGGCGTGGGAAATTTGATGAAGGAAGCCGGGACAATCTGGAAAAGTGAGTCTATTGGGGCAGCTTTTTTATTTTGGCTGCAATTGTTGCAATGCTATTGACTAGGTCCTTGTTAAAGGTTAAAACCCATATTACCTTTTTCTTTACTAGATGGGTCCATCAATCGTTTGCGCCAATTTAGAAATCAATTTCTCATGTCTGTTTAGCCATCATGACCTTGGATTGTCTATTTTCCAGATGCATCACAAAACTAAAAAGGGATTGTTTGGCACTTTCGATGATTGGTTCACTCTTAAATATTTCAGTTTTTTTTACCAAGTTATAGCATTAACTTAATATACATAATAATAATAATGAGTAAAAATATTTTTTTTATACAATAACTATGTCAATGTTTAATAAACATACAAGCGAGAAAAATAGAGAAAATGTACATTCTTAAATAAACAGGTTTATCGTATCAATTTTAAATTTGACGGATTGAGCCTGAACATAACTCGTTTATATCTTGTGTTCGCGTGTTAGATCATTTTCGAGTTTGTGTTGAATTATAATCGAGTTTGTGTCATAAAATTTTTGTATCAAATTCGAGTGATGTCATCGTATATTAGTCAAAAATTGTTACCTCTAGTTTCACGCATTTTTAACGTAAAGGTATGTGTGCAAAATAGGCTTTTAATAGAAATCTTAAAGAGTGTTTTGCAAATTCACTTTGCATTAGAAAGTGTGGGTTAGACCGATATTCTCAAGGAGTGGGCTTGGACCATAGCAGCATGGTTTAACAGTCCACTGGTGGCAGTGGGTCAGCTCAACGCCACTGGCACAGATCAGTGGTTTTCATGAAGCTCATCAGATCCTTTCACCAGGAGACTTCTCCTTATTAGAGTGTTTGAGAAACATGAATCATAGGGCGTTTGAGAGCTTGGTTGAAGACCCTTCGGATGTACCCAGATTAGCGGCTGAACTTTGTAGGCAGAGTCAAGAGGCAGTATCTTTGCATCGTTCTATTCCATCGTCTGAATCCGCTGATATATGGTGTCCACCGATGTCAGGTATGTTCAAAGTTAACTTTGATGCGGCTGTATTCGAAGCCCAAAATGTTATCGGGGTGGGAGTAGTTATCAGAGTCGAAAGGGGATACAAGTTTATAATACTTATTTGAGCAAAAGTGTATGAGTAAATGGTTTATTCTATTAAGTACAATTTTTATAATACTTTTTATGTTTAAGTACAAAATTTAAATGAATTAAAATTTTTTTTACTTAAACACCCTTTTTTATTTTATGCAGCCATGAATGACAGTTATTTTAGGAAATGAATATATAAAGATTACATATTTGTTATCTTTTTATTTTTGAATTTTGAATGAGTAGTTTTGTGAGAGATTTATGCATCTATTGACAGTTATTTTAGGAAACAAATATGTAATTTTTATATTTGTTATCTTTTTTTTTTGAATCAAATGTGTGTGTTTAACTGATAAATCTTCTTCACCATAAGTCTTCTTCAACGTGTTCAACTGATAAGTCTTATTCAAAATAATTTTTCTTAAACGGCGATTCATTTCTCCAGTGGTGGTTTTCTTTGAAAAAGGAATTACAAATACCAATTATCATCATCAAATTGAATGTGAGTTGTTAATAATTATATTTCTTCTTTTTTGGTCATTCTTTTTTTTTGGGAAATTTCTACTTTTCAATTTTTGTTTTATGTTCGTTTTTTGTTGGAATGGAGGAAAAAAAAAATTTTTGATCTTAATGAGTGTAACTGTTTCTTATGGGTGTAAATATTTTTAGTATAGACAAAATAATTATTTCTTCTACAATTCGATCATTTTTTTTGGGAAATTCATATGTTCGTTTTTGTGTATGTTTGGTCATTGTTGGAATGAATGGGGAAAAAAAAAAACTGCTTTGCTTTTAAGGGGTGTAACTGTTTTTAAAATTGATGTAACTATTTTTGGGTATTGACATTAATGTATGTTTTCGAAAAAATGTTAATATGTCATTGTTTGTTTTTTTTTATTCTTAGATTATTAATCAAAGATTGTTATATGTTGTTTGTTTTTTAGGATGAACGGGAAAAAAAATTGTTTTGGTTTTTAATGGGTGTAACTATTTTTTAATTAGAGTTATGTTTTAATGTAAATGCTATTATGTGCAATTTTCCAGTTAATATCTATTTTGGAAGATCCTGTATATTTGTAAATTTTGTTATTTTATGTTTTTTTCAGTACGTAGATAATTAATTAATTGATTTGTATTAAGGTTTTTACAACCCCAAGAGCTTTCGGATACAAAAAGCTCAAGTTAGCCACAAAAGGCATTTGACACTGTTTATGGATCATTTGACACTGTTTACTAACCTTTTTATAGAATCAAAAACTGTTACTGTAGTGAAAAGATCAAAGCATTCTCATGAATGTAAAACTGAATTCTTAGATGAATTGTCCAATATTGCTTGTTTGAGGCATAAATATTTATTGAGGCACCAATGTTGGTGTGTTGAAAAGGGTGAATTGCTACTTGTGTTTGAGTCTTGATAAGATACTATATCCAAAATTTGAATTGGGTAACCCATTGAAATGGTCATATAGATACCACATTGGAATTGGTTTGGCCTCTACTTTGACTTACCTCCATTAAGAATGTGAACAACAATTAATCCACATAAACAATAAGACCGTTAACATTATGCTTGATTCAGTAACAGATATTTAAGACAGTTACAACACAAATAAGATACATCTATTCAATTGTTAATCAATAAAGTTACTGATAACAAATAAAAAAATTGAATCCTTAAAATCATAAAAATAGTTATGCAACACAGTTAAACCCATTAAATTTTGAATATGAACTGTCTATATTTGAATCTCAAATAGTTATTTAAAAAAGTTACGTAACTATTTTTAATCAAAAAAATTATGAACCATAAAATTGTCAATAACAAACTTATAAGAATTGAATTCTTAAAATCGGAAGAATAGATACACAACACAGTTAGACCCAATAAAATTATGAATATAAAGTAGCTATATTTGAATCCCAAATAGTTAATAAAGCAGTTACATAGCTATTTTTAATCAAAAAAATCATGAACCAAAAAGTTGTCAATAACAGACTTATAATAATTGAATCCTTAAAATCAAAAGAATAGTTACGCAACACAGTTAAACCTATTAAATTTTGAATAAAAAGAGCCTATATTTGAATCGCAAATAGTTACTGAAAACAGTTACGTAACTATTTTTAATCAAAAAAATCATGTTCCAAATTTTTTTTTTTTCATATACATATGCTATAATAGATTTACAAATTCTTAATCTAATTTCACAAAATTAGGGTTTTATGATTTGGTTTTATTTTTGAATCAACTTACACAGGCTTTTGAAAAAAAAAAATCAATAATCAATGAATGAAAAAAAAATAGAATGTCACCTCAAATTTCCGGTGAAAGAAGTTGTCAGAGACGCTGAACAGGTTCTGCACGACGTTGGTGATGATGAATAGTCGGATTTTGGAACTATCGTAGTACTCTTTTTTTTGTGGAATATTCAATGGTTAAAATAGAAATAATATACGGTTATGTCATTCTATGTATATCTCATTGCCATGGAATCAGGATGCCGAAGAATCAGGATGCCTAAGAATAAGGTTTTTGACAATTAAATCCCCTTTTTTACCTCCCATTAACTGATTCTAGCAATAATATACAGAGGAATACAAATGAGTTTCCATTATTTACTGAATGACAATACTGGTATTTTAAAAAAATATACACTTGACCTCAAATAAGTTTTTGAGTTGTACTTTTACCTAAATAAGTCTAAAAAATTGTATCGACTTCTAAATTTTCCTATTTTTTAGGGTCCTTTGAAAGTCAGTACACTAAATTAGACATAATTGTAAAAAAATATACATAACAAAATATTTAAAAAAAAAGTAAATAACTGAGATACAAGCATTGGAATTTAGGATCATTTAATTCAAAATCCCTAATACACCTTGATTCATGCATAATTTTTTTTTAAAGTGATTTTCTTTTCAAATTATATTTATGCATTAAATATCTTTTAGTTTTATGAGAGAACTTTAATATTCCGTTCATTTTAGGATATATTACTTTGTTTGAAATTCAAAATTTGTTAATATCCGAACTACATAATAGCGTAACAAAAATAATGTAACAATACACAGTAACAAAAATAATGTTTAGTGATTTTGTGCCTGTGGTAACAAATTCAAAACAGAGATGAATTGTTTTGAATGAAATTATATGAAACTATATGTTTGACAAAATGTAATAGAACAATATTTTATGTAAATGTTTTGTTATACTGTTATTGTTACACAGTTATTATTACACTGTTATGAAGTTTAGATATTAATATAATTTGAAAGCAAAACCACTTTAAAAAAAATACGTATAAATCAAGATGTATTAAATATAATTTGAAAACAAAACCATTTTCCAAAAATAATACGCATAAATTAAGAAAGGACATAAAAATACAGAATATTAAAGTTTTTCCATAAAATTATGAGATATTTAATGCACCACTTTCCAAAAAAAAAAAAAAACGCATAGATCAAGGAGGATATAAATATTAGAAAAAAATAAAAAAATTTCAGATAATGTACTTGAAAACAAATAAGTATCAAAATTAAGAACTTTTTTATCTTACATTTTTTTCTGTATATTTTTTTACAATTAACTCCAATTTGTTGTACCCTTTTCCAATTTTCCCTATTCTTTAGGGGTATTGTCCAAGAGATTGGTCATCAATTGCGACGTTTATATGGCAAAGACCACCGCTGCTAGAATTGTGATTCAGTTTACTAGGCAGCAAGAGCTATCAGAGATTATTTTGGAAGGAGATTCAGTTGGAGTTATGAAATCTCTCAAGAATAGTGTGGATTCCGATCCCTATCTTTCAATTCTCTTCGATATTCATAGATTAGCGGAGAGCTTGTCTTTTCGAAGTATCAATGGCTAGTCGTAATGGGAATAAAGTAACCCATAAGGTCGTTATATTTTTTTTATAGATAGTAAAGTTGTATGGTTAGGGCCGAAACCAAACTTTATTATGTTGCTTGTTTTTTTAGATATTCTTTTGTAATATATATTTTCTATCGTTCTCCTCAAAATTTTTTTTTTTTTTTTTTGAATCTTGACACAAATCGAGTCTAAGGGAGACTCAAATGTTTTACCAAAATATTTTTAGCCATAAAATTGGAAGAAAAAAAAAAGCCTCTCGATGCCTCCATTACTCGTGACAATAGACATAAACAAACACTAACTTTGTGGTTGAAACAACAAAGCAACAACTCTGAATCAACAACGACATATTTCAAGCCATTGAATCTCAATAAAAAAAACAAATTGAAAAATCGAAGGCTCGTAAATCAGATGCTTCAACGAATTCCAACTATTTGGTGCAAAAAAGAAACTGCGAGTGTGAGCCTTCTTTGCACAATTATTGTGAACTATTGTTGTGAAGACAAAGAATTCAAGGAGATGGAAGATAAGGGGGGACATGATTTATAAGAAAGAATAATAAATAAAAAGGTTATTATTGTGAAATCGACAAAATATTAACAAAATATAAAGAGAGTAGTGCACAAAATATGTAAAAAATAAGTTTTTTACAAACTTAATATATCAGTGTGTTGATCTTCGAGATCACGCCTTTTTACCTTTCTATTCTTTTCGTTTCTTTCTATGTGCATTTCATTCACATGCAAAAAGCCATTTATAGGCAGAGCTACAAGAGGGGTAATTAATGAATAGTTGGGGTACATGATAGAGTTTGGCAAATGCCTTTAGTGAAGTAATAACAGTGTGTTATCCACCAAACACCCAAAATATTTACAACACTCTTCTTTGGATGACTACTATACTAACATAGTGTTGGATGCGCGAATGTTACCTTTTTAAATCTTGCCAATAAAACTCGGTGAAAAAATACCTTAGCGAAGAAAAAAGAGTGCAATGTGCAAATTGTCCAGTTGGGATAGCACTGCCACATTAAAACCTTTGCTAACTAAAA